AAAAAAAAAAAAGGTGCCAGGACCATTGCAGAGGCCGAAAGACATCACCACAAACTTGTACAGACCGTACCTGGTCTGAAACGCAGTTTTGTGTTAATCCTCGGGCGTATGGCAATCTGATGGTACCCGGACTTGAGATCTATCTTACTGAAGTACCGGCACCCTTGCACTCTATCTAGCAAGTCATCGATGCGCGATAGGGGCTCTTGGTTATTGACAGTGATGGCATTGAAGCCCCTATGGTCAATGCACATCCTCAGAGTTCCCCCCTTCTTCGGCACAAATAAGACTGGAGATCCGTAAGCGGAGACACTCGGCCTGATCCAACCCTTTTCTACGAGTTCCTTGAGTTGCCGACGAAGCTCATCAAGCTCGCCTGGAGACCTCCGATAGATCCTACCCTTCGGGATGCTAGACCCTGGGATAATCTCTATTGCATGGACGACCTCCCTCTCTACAACCCCTTTCGTCTCTTCAAATAGATCAGGGTATTTAGCAACTACTCCCTCTATCTCCGACGACAATTTCATCGGCTTGCCTGCTGCAGAGACATATACTAGATACATACCCTCCTCCGGATTCTGTTTGTAATAATTGTAGAACGCGGCCGCACACATGCATCCGTAGGACTCGATCAGACTATTAGCCTTAAACTTTCATAATTTGGCGGTACCCCCACCTGGCAAAGTGTGTTTGACCACTTTTCAGTCCCTGTCAAGCTGGGGCTGTGCAACAGAGAGGTACCACATACCTAACAAGATATCCATAGGGAGATCATCGCGCACTAGGAACGAAACGCGATGTTTTAGTTCCCCTCCCGCGTACGGGAAATAACACTCAACGTTCTGAAGTCCTGGGCTACCATGCGCTGTTTGTTGGCACAGGTCGACTCAGGAGTTGCACTTGCCCTTGTAAGCGCAGCCTCTCAACGCACGTGCGACTAATGAAGTTCCTAGTCGAGCAAGTATCATAATAGGCCCTGGCCTTACGGCCGTTGATGACTACCTCGCCGACGAACATCTCACTCCTAGGGGCTATTTCCTATGCCGTCCAAGAAGCTAGCGGGTCTGATTTGGACCACTCCTCCTCTAGCTCCTCTAAGGACTAAAACACATTCATCGAACAGAGGTTCGATGGGTCTGAATGTGTTTGCGGGACGACGATGGAGTCAATAGCTTGGGCCATCTCTCAAGATGGTGAGGGTGTGTCCACCACCTCGAACCTAGCAGGAACAACTACTATTCCTACTGGCCCGACGCGTTTCTCGGAGCAGTGCCCGAACTGCTGGCCACATTGCCACCAACGAGAGCGGAGGATCCCAACGCCTGCCCCATCGTAGGTGGGATCTTCTCGGTCACCTTTTTGTTACGACACTTGAATTGATTATGGCCACATTGGCCACAACGAATACAAGCCTGTCGGGTGTACCGATCTCTCCACACATCCTCTGTTAGACCCGCTTTCTCCCATGGAGGAGCATTGGGGTTAACTTGACTCCTAGACCGGGAACCTCCACGACGTCTACCGACCTTACCTTTCTGAACTGCGACAGCGACTACTCCMCCCCCTGAAGCCTCTACACTGCCTGCCTCTGAACCCACTCCCGCCTGGAAGTCGTCATCCAACTCGATGGTAGAACCATCGTTGTCGACGAACATAATGCGGCCTTCCAGTTGGGAGGCAGTGACTTTTTCCTACCATCCTTCGTGGGTGTCTGTCCATGCCCTATCTTCGCCTCTAGGTCTAGGGCCTTCTTGCTAAGCCAGGGAAAGTTGTGAATGTTGATGTTGGCCTCACCTGCCAACTGGTTCTTGAGAGGCATAGGAAAGCATCTCAAGTAGGAGGTGAGTAGAACCTGGGGGTCATAGCGCACCCCAGGGACACAGATCAGACGCTCTACTGCGTATGTGGCCTCTCTTACTGACTTAAACTGCTTGTTGTGCAAAGTCAAGATCGTGTCAGTGGCCTTTTGAGCCTCCTGAGGATCATGCCACCTGTCTTCCACCAACTTGAGGAAGTCATCCAGTTTTTGGTTGACCGCCCAAGCGCGAAAGGCATGACCGTATCCCTGTAACTGCACTAAACCACTCAACCATCTTGTTGCACTCCCCTCTAAATAGGAGGCAGCCACAAACACTTCCTCGTGCAGCAAGGTAAGTTTACACTTAACGTAGACTGGCATTGACCTTAACCATGTGTCGAGGTCTTCGCCCCTCTTGTCCCCTGTGAAGGGTTTAGGAGCAGCGATGGCCGTCTTTGGAACCCATTGACTTTGTCCCAGCACCTGTCCCACTCCAAGCTGTGGACCTTGGGAACCAGGATGCTGCACTATTTGCTGTTGGGGTTGTGTACCCTGCGGCTGTGCAGGCTGCGAGACAACAGGCTGCCCGCTTACGGCAACCTGCGATGGAGGCTGGGAAAACACTGTCTGTACAGGAATCTGTACACTAGGACCTGCTGAGAACCCTCCTGCTAACGCCATACTTATGGAAACGGCTTGGACCGATGCTGGGGAAACATATGGGGATACCCTAGTCACCGGTGGGACATAAGGAGGAGGTTGTACAACGGGCCAGGCACTTGTTGCCTGCGCTCGCCCAACCAGCAAGGCCAGACTCGGCTGGATGTCATGAAGGAGAGCCGTGTGGTGGTCCTGCATCTCTACAACACCTAGCAGGGCTGTCTGCAACGTCCTCACATCTGCATCCATATGCGTCAAGTCCCTTCCCTCTAACTCACTGATGTCCGCTTGTCTCCGCTGCATCTTGGATCTTCTTCTAATCATTATTTTCTTCTCCGCCTTAATCTCTCCCAACAGGACCTCGTTGTATGGTGACCTCTTCGGGAGTCGTCACTAATGAGTGGCTTGCCATGACGCCAGTGGACTGACTCAGGGTTTGTGCAACCGTTGACCCTATAGACCCTGAACTGCCGGCTTGGGAACTCTGCTGCGCAGCAGTTGCCATGGCTGCTGAAGCAGCGGCTTTGCTTGCGAATGCCCTGCTGGCCTCTGCTGCCCTAGCTCTCCGCTGCTGCTGTTGTCTCTCCCTAAGCTAGCGGAACAAAAATTTGTCACCCTTTGGTCCTAATGCCAAGTGGGCCAGGGTTGTCACAGCCCCGGCCCCGGGGGTCCGGTGCGGTGGTCCCCTGACCCCGGCCCAGGAGTAGCCAAAAAAAAAAAATCCAAAAAAATTCCAAAAAAAATCAAAACAAAATAAAAAAAATACAGGGGGGTGCGCAGCAGAAGCCTGCACCCCCCAGGCCTAACTGCGAGAATGCAGTTTTGGGCCCACCTCGGACTCCCCCCCGGGGCTACACCCTCCCCTGATGAGCTCGGGGTGGCCCTGGGCGGGGGTGGGCGTGGGGGTGGGCATGGGGGTGGGGAGGGGTTTGG